CCTTTCTTTTAGCCTTAATAGATTTTCAAATTGTGTATATTTTCTATATGCTGGAAAAGGATCTGTAATTTGTTAATTTGAGAATATATCACTTCAAACACAACTATGAAATCAAGCTTAATAACTGATACTCAAATCTTATATTCAAATCTTCTGTTGTCTTACTCATTTCTGGTCTATCAGTTTTTGAAAAATAAAATAGCTTAAAATCCTAATAGTGATTAACTGTTTAACTAGGGTTTGCACATTTTTCCTTATTTCAATTTTTGCCCTGTATATTTTAAGACAATGTTGTTAGATTCAAAGAATGTTCAGAACTGTATCTGACTTAGAGTCTATTTTGTCTATTTCTACATCAGCTTTGTTTAATAATGTACTGATATTTTTTCTCTTTATTCTCAACTCTGCATTGAAATGCTTACATAAAATTACTGATACATGTATTTTTACTCTTATCATCTTATTTTGTGTTTTCTCTTCACTGATTTCTTTCAATGCTTACCTGTTTTCCTTTCTGGCCTTCTATTAGATATCCCCAAAGGCTGTATTTTATTTAATGATTTTACTGACATCCTTCAATGTCACCATGGATATTGAAGCTATTATTAAAATTATTTTCAACCTAATCTCCTACCTACAAAGTCCTCTCCTCTTTCTACTGCATTTCCTCCACTAGTAAGTTACTTATTTTATTCTTTTTCTGATTACCCCAACATTTTACCATATTTAAGAAATCTTTAATTTCAATCTATTCTCGTTTTTACTAATAAGAACTGACAAAGAACTCTTTTCATTTGTTAAAATTTTAGTTCTTTTTATTTCTAAATAACCCTAAACTAATCATCATTATTACTAGCTCAGGCAGTCAATATGCTTTCAATTATACCAATATGCTTACGGATTTTGAAATTTTATTTATTTATTTTGGCTCATCATTGCTTCCTACTTTCTTCCAAAGCTCAGTTTCCTTTTTACTAGTATGATTTAATAGTTCTTTCCTCAATCCCCTACAAGTATTAAACATCACCTTTACCCAAAATATTATTTCTAACACCCAAATTATCTGGAAACAGCAGCTTGGGTTCAGAGTTATTCTCCCTTAGTATTCTGAATTCTACCTATTCTGACCTCTGCCATTACTGAAAAAAATTTATGCTGCTGAACTACTGTTCTTTTATCAGTTCAGTACAGTCTCTCAGTCGTGTCTGACTGTTTGTGACCCGATGGACTGCAGCACACCAGGCTTCCCTGTCCATCACCAACTCCTGAAGCTTACTCAACTCAAACTCATGTCCATCGAGTCGGGTGACACCATCCAAACATCTCATCTTTTGTCGTCCCTTTCTCCTCCCACCTTCAATCTTTCCCAGCATCAGGGTCTCTTCCAATGAGTCAGTTCTTCGCATCAAGTGGCCAAAGTATTGAAGCTTCAGTTTCAGCATCAGTCCTTCCAATGAATATTTAGGACTGATTTCCTTTAGGATTGACTGGTTTGATCTCCTTGTAGTCCAAAGGACTTTCAAGAGTCTTCTCCAATACCACAGCTAGGTATCAACAATACATGAACCAAGAACCTCCAGATGTTCAAGCTGGATTTAGAAAAGGCAGGGGAACGAGAGGTCAAATTGCCAACAGCTGGTAGATCACAGAAAAAGCAAAAGAAGTTCAGAAAAAAACATCTACTTCTGCTTCACTGATTACACCAAAGCCTTTGGCTGTGTGGATCATAGCAAACTGTGTAAAATTCTTAAAACAGATGGGAATACCAGCCCATCTTACCTGCCTCCTGAGAAACCTATATGCTGGTCAAGAAGCAACAGTTACAACTGGACATGGAACAACAGACTGGTTCAAAATTGAAAAAGGAGTGCATCAGGATGCATATTGTTACCCTGCTTATTAACTAATGCCATGTTGGTTGACTCATATGCTGGAATCAAGATTGCCGGGAGAAATATCAGTAACCTCAGATATGCAGATGACACCACCCTTATGGCAGAAAGCCAAGAGGAACTAAAGAGCCTCTTGATAAAGGTGAAAAAAGGAGAGTAAAAAAGCTGGCTTAAAACTCAACATTCAGAAAACGAAAATCATGGCATCCGGTCCCATAATTTCATGACAAATAGATGGGGAAACAATGGAAACAGTGAGAAACTTTATTTTTGGGGGTTCTAGAATCACCACAGATGGTGACTGCATCCATGAAATTAAAAGATGCTTGCTCCTTGGAAAAAAAGCTATGAGCAACCTAGACAGTGTATTAAAAAGCAGACACATCACTTTGCCGACAAAGGTCTGTCTAGTCAAAGCTATGGTTTTTCCAGTAGTTATATACAGATGTGAGAGTTGGACCAGAAAGAAGGCTGAGCACTGAAGAACTGATGATTTTGAACTCTTGCGCTGGTGAAGACTCTTGACAGTTCCTTGGACTACAAGATCAAACCAGTCCATCCTAAAGGAAATCAATCCTGAATATTCATTGGAAGGACTGATGTTGAAGCTGAATCTCCAATACTCTGGCCACGTGATGGGAAGGGCTGACTCACTGGAAAAAGACCATGATGCTGGGAAAGATTGAGGGCAGGAGGAGAAGGGGACAACAGAGGATGAAATGGTTGGATGGTATCACCAACTCAATGGACATGAGTTTGAGCAAGCTCCTAGAGATGGTAAACTACAGGGAAGCCTGGCATCTTGCACTCTTGGGATTGCAAAGAGTCAGGCACAACTGACCAACTCAACAACAACAACAACAAAACATTAATGTTTATTGAAAACAAAATGTTAATTAAAAATAGAAAATATTTTTTAAAATAGGCTGATTCTCAGTAAGAGCTGTGATTTTTATGGCATATTTTAACTTACACCAGTCAATTCCCTGACAATTCCACTTCTAAACATAAACCCAAAAAATGCAAGCACAGAGACTCAAACAGATAATTGTTTATGAATATTCAAAGAAGCATTATACACAACAGACAAAATTAGTTAGAAACCCAAGGGTACATCAACTTTTGAATGGATTTTTATTTTTATTTTTATGTAGCTTAGCGACTAAACCACTACCACCGGTTCTTTGTTCAAGTAAAGATGGAAACTCAGATTCACCCCTGGAAGTTTAAGATAGATCTCTTGCTGCAAGAGCAGGGCAAGGAAGTCGTGAATACAGGAGAAAAGAGGTGGGGTTCACCTGTGGGGTAAATCAATTTGATGAGATGCTGCAACAAGTAGCATGGCTATTAAAAAGGAAAACAAGAAAACTAATAGAATAGCAAACACATCCAAAGCAGCATAAAGTGTTGCTCTGAACTATGATTAGGCAAGTGAAAGCACTCCCTTGTGCTCTCCATAAACTCTTGGGAAAGGCACACACTTCCTATGTATGTTCAAAGGAAACAGTACTCAAAGACTATAAGGTATCACTTAAGTTTCAACTGAAAGACATCATAAGCAGATTACCTCTGTTTCCAAAACTCTTTCCAACTCCAAAACCACCTGCTCTGGACGTATTCTCTCTTTTATTAGACTCACCAGGATCTGAAAAGGTTCAGATACAATTAAAACTTGTTAAAGTATAAAATCAAGTGTGTCATCAATAACTAGGAATTAAATGAATCTGTGTGGTAATGGAACTTCCAAGAATGAGGAGAGGGTATTACAGGAACTTATGAAATTAAACTATACCTGCAACTTCTTTTTTAAAAATTCTTACATTATACCAAAGTAAAAACGTAAATATACTACTGCTGAAATACAGCTCTGAACTAGTTGCTATTTTACTAGAGAACTTTAACCAAGAAATTCAATTCTACAATTCAACTCTATTCAACTCTCATTTTCTATATATTGAAACCTCACCCTGACAGATCCAGCTATTTACATTATACCTCTATGTGAAAGTCACTGCTAATGAAAGTTCTATATCTTGTCCTATAATTATTATTCATTTAAAAAAATATTTATTATTTATTTGGCTGTACCAGGTCTTAGCTGCATCATGAGAACTCTTAGTTGCAGCATGTGGGATCTAGTTCCCCGATCAAAGATCAAACCAGGGCCCCTGGTATTGGCAGCATAAGAGTCTTAGGTCACTGGACCACCAGGGAAGTCCCTATTCATTTTTCTAGTACTTAAATCACTCTCAATCTACTTTTTAAAATTAGAATTAAGAAGTAGCTATATAATAACGAAAAAAATGCTAAGAATACCACTTGCCTTTATCTCCCACTCCTCCATAGTATTTCCCCATATCAACCTTCTTAGTTTTATATTCTACTATACAACTCTGACCACCCAACATTTTAATTCATAAAACAACTTTCCATACTCCACACTGTGAACTTCTAATATCTTCTATTTCCTACACGCTATTCCTTCAGCATGACATTCCTTGCTTTCCTATTTTTCCTAGCAAAATTCTTTTCACTCTTCAAAAGCCTGATTCAAACCCACCTCTTCTGTGAAGTCCTCCTTCAGTCCTCCAACTGTAATCAACACATCAACACATTCCCACAGCATACTATGTGTATCTCTTTTTAAGCAATATTTCTTTCCATGTGCTTCTCTACCACTAAATTAAGAATTTTGAGGGCAGAGTTTCTATGTCAAGCAGCACAGTTATTTAAATCATAAACTTAAGCACCCAAAACATCATAAATAGCCACTTTAAACTATCATTGGGATAATTATCATAATCTTGTGATTTTCACAAATTGTCTTCCCTACATCTATAATATCCTAATACAGAGGAGCTAAGAGATCTGTGAAACTCCTAATGCCACATGCAAAACTGTGTATATGCTATCAGTATTTTTATCAGATTCTAAAAAAGCATGTGATTCGGGAAGTTAAGGCTTTTTTAGGCCATACTTCACAGAAGATAAAAAGCGAATCAATATATATTTTAGGTAATTAAAAGTCAATTTTAAAACCATGTTACTAGATATATCCAAGTTGTGAGAAAAAATACCATTAAGATTGAAACAAACTAGAATGTTAAACTGAATCATTTGGGAAAGGTGTGGTTCTTCTATAAATTTCCAGGATTATATGCAGTATTAAAGATAACTTTTTTTCTTAAATATTATTGGAGTATAGCTAATTTACAATTTTGTGTTAGTTTCAGGTATACAAAGTGATTCAGTTTACATATACATATATTCATTCTTTTTCAGATTTTTTTCAAAGAAAACTTTTTAAAGTATCAATATTCACAGTTTCAATCAGAAATTTAATGTATTTAAATCTACAACATATTGAATTAACAATTCATACTAAAATCTCAGTGATGGTTTTCTCATTTAAAAAGGCTCTATTCAACAATGTTTAGAAGTCTGCATCAAAAAATATCATTCTAAATTAGGATTTTAAAATATATCCAAATAAGTAGTTCCCTGAGTGTTGTATTAAGGTATTTGTTACTTCTTTGTAGTAGCAAACAAAATACACCCTTGAATCTTTAAGCACAACTACATGGTCCAAAAATTAATGCCTCTTACTTAATAGGCAGGCCTAAAAATAAAAAAATATATATGCATCTTCAACAAATTTCATTAGTAGAATATGTCAAAACATAAAATTCACACTTATGTTAACTGTATCTTAAAAAATTAAGTTTTACAAGTAGCAAATGAAATACCATATACCAAATTTCAGTTTCTAATGGATAAAAACATATATAAATACCAAAATTTTCAAAAACTAACATTTAATAAATTCAAGAATAAGTGTCATGTATATTTAAAACTATTAACCCTAGCTTATGGCCCCATAAGAGAAATTTATTTAAAAATCCATATGACCATTTGAGGTTCTAATACTATTTGGTTGCACTGTAATAAAACACAGTGCAGAATATTTTCAGCATTTTAATAACAAATCTAAAAATGGAATGGAGGAAAGTATTTTGCTGTGTTATTATCTGTCAAATCTAGTGCTGGTTGTTCTGAAAGTGACAATAAAAACTTTCAATTTTGGGAAAACAACCTCTTAATAGTAGTGAGCTAACAGAACTGTTTCACATACTGCCTTTTCTTGAGAAACATAAAACTTAAGAAAGAGGTCCTTCACACTCTAGTCTCTCGAGTTTCTCCCATTCCTCCCATGACAATGGGAACAATAACCATCAACACATCAAGCAGCAGCTCTGGGAAGCAACTCTCTTTAACCAATCTTCCCATCTAATCAATTCAACTATTTCCTACTATCTTAAAATGTAAAACAGTGAAAAGAATACTGGTATTAAAAAAAAATTCATCATCCCAACGAAGTCTACTGTACACCAAGTTATATCAGATTTAACCTTGCACTAAACAGCCATAAAAGCCTCTATTCATTCCACTATTCACCTATTATAACAGATGATTAAAGAAAGATACTTACCTCTGTTTCCCAAACTCCTCCCAGAGGCAAATCCACTTCTCATGAAATGATCTCTTCGAGACGATCCATCACCCATTTCTAAAGTGAATAACATTTGAAGCAAGTCAAAATAACAAAAAAGTATCCTGATGGTAAGTAAGCTTTAAACCGTCTAAATGTGCCATCCACACAGCATAGGAGGAATTTTACATAGCAGTAAGAAAGATGAATAGCCTAGTAGAAAAATGGGCTATGAGTAAGAATAGGTAGTCCTCCAAAAGAAAAAAATGCTAACTCTCACTCATAATTAAAGACACTGATTAGCCTCCAACTAATAAAAATAAATGAAAATAATAATAATTAAAGACACTGAAAATCAAAAGAATATAACTTTTCCCAACCACGACTGACTGGAAAACAGTTTGCTAATATGAATCTAGTAGAAGACCTAAATGGGCTTTCCTCATAGCTAAGTCGGTAAAGAATCTACCTGCATTGCACAAGACCCAGGTGAGATCTCTGGGTTGGGAAGATCCTCTGAAGAAAGAAATAGCAACCTATTCCAGTATTCTTGCCTGGAGAATACCATGGACAGAAGACACTGGCAGGCCACAGCCCACAGGGTTGCAATAGTTGGACATGACTCGGACATGACTTAGTGACTAAATCACACTAAAGACCAGACATTTCTCCAAAGAAGACATACAGATGACCAACAAGCACATGAAAAGATGCTCAACATCACTAATTATTAGAGAAATGCTAATCAAAACTACGATGAGTTATCACCTCACACAAGTCAGGATGGCCAACGTCAAAATGTGTACAAACAACAAATGCTGGAGAGAGTGTGGAGAAAAGAGACCCTCTTACACTGTTGGTGACAAGGTTAATTGATACAGCCACAATGGAGAACAATATGGAGGTTCCTAAAAGATACTACAAATAGAAGGACTCTATGACCCAGCAATCCCAACACTGGGCATATACCCAGAGAAAAACGTAATTCAAAATGACACATGCACTCCAATGTTCACTGCAGCACTATTTACAGAAGCCAGCACAGGGAAGCAAGCAAAATTTCCATCAACAGAGGAAATGAATAAAGAAGATGTGGTACACACAGACAATGGAATATTACTTGGCCATAAAAAGGAATTAAATTGGGTCACCTGTAGAGACATGGATATACCTAGAGACTGTCATACAGAATGAAGAAAGTCATAAAAACAAATATCATATATTAAGGCATAAATGTGGAATCTAGAAAAATGGTACAGATGAACCTATTTGCAAAGCAGAAACAGAGACACAAACATAGAGAACAAATATATGGATACCAAGAGGCAGGGGGTTGGGGGAAGGATGAACAGGGAGATTGTGATTCACGTATATACACTATTAATGCTATGTGTAAAATAGATAACTAATGAAAATCCTACTGTATAGCACAGGGAACTTTATTCATTGCTCTATGGAAGGAAATCTAAACAAGTGGAAATATATATATAACTGATTCACTTCGCTGTACAACAGAAACTAACACAACATTGTAAAGTAACTATATTCCAATAAATATTTTTTTAAATACCAAGGCTAGTCAAGGACATAGGGAAACAAGCACGAATCAAATACAACATTGAAACTATAAACTAGATCCATCTTGATCCTAATTTTAAAGGAAAATACTTTTTGAAAATATACTAGTATACTTTTTCCTGTGGATATACTCACATGATAACACAAACACACATAAAAATGTTTTGATAAGCACTGTCTGTAACAGCCAAGAAAAACAGTCAAAGGAGAAGAGATAAATTACAATCATCCACAGAACACTGTAAACATTCACAGAACTAAAAACATTAAACTGGTGACTTTCTTCAACAATAGAATATTCATAAAAGCCGACCACATGGAAGGCCAAAATGTAAATTCAACAATTTCAAAATCAGTTATCACATACACAAAATTCTCTAATTGCAATGCAATCAAATTAAAAATTACTAGAAGACAAATACTGTATATTTTTGCTTATATGTGGAATCCAAAAAATAAAACAAGTCAATAAATACACAAAAACAGAAAAGATGAACAGATATAGAAAACAAACTAGTGGTTTGCCACATGGGAGAAGGGTGAGGGAGGTATGAAATAGGTGAAGGGGAGGTAAGAGGTACAAACTTACTAGTTATAAGATAAATTAGCTACAGGGATGTAATATACAGCACAAGGAATATAGTCAATATTTTACACTAACTTTGTATGGTGTATAATCTATAAAAATAGCAAATAACTATTATACACTGACAATTAATGATAGAGTAACTCAATTATAAAATTTTAAAATTCTCTTACATTTGGAAATATATTTTTAAAACACTTCGATACAAAACAGTTCAAAGAAAAAAATTACAATGGAACTTTAGAAATACTTAGAATTGTATGATAAAATGACATATATCAGAAATTAAATTTTTATACAATAAGAACTGAAAATTAATGAGGTAAACATGCATCTCAACTAGTAAGAACATTAGAAAAACAGCAAAATAAATCACAGAAGAGTAAAGGAGAAAAAAGGTGGTAAAAACAGGCCTCCCTGGTGGCTCAGTGGTAAAGAACCCACCAACGCAGGAGACACAGGTTCAATCTGTAGTTCAGGAAGATCCCACAAGTTCAATCTGTAGTTGCGGTGGGACAACTAAGCCTGTGTGCCACAACTACTGAACCAGCGCTCTAGAGCCCATGAGTTGCAACTACCTAGAGCCTGTGGTCCACAACAAGAGAAACCAGTGGAATGAGAAGCCCATGCACTGCAACTAGAGAGTAACCCCCACTCACCACAAGTGGAGAAGGCCTGTGCAGAGCAATTAATACCCAGTACAGCTGTAAATAAATACAAGTAAATAAATCTTTAAAGAAAAAATGTTAACAACAAAAAATAATGAAATAGGAAACAAAAATATAATAGTGGCTCAATAAAGCCAAAACCTACTTCTTTTTTTTTTCCCATTTATTTTTATTAGTTGGAGGCTAATTACTTCACAACATTGCAGTGGTTTTTGTCATACACTGAAATGAATTAGCCATGGATTTACATGTCCAAAAGCTAGTTCTTTAAGAAACCAATGACCCACTCCAGGACAAAGGAATGAAAGTGAGGAGATGGAAAAAGGTATTTCATGCAAATGAAAATGACAATAAAGTGGGGGATGCAACACTCATATAAAAAAAACAGACTTCCAAACAAAAGCCATAAAAAGGCCAAAGAAAGACACTATATAATGATAAAAGAATCAATACAAGAAGAGGATATTACACTCAATGACACATATGCACTCAATATAGGAGCATCTAAATGTATATAAATATTTATATATTTTTATACTAAAAAATATATTAAAGTTTAAATACTTATATATAAATATAAAAACATATAAGTATATAAAAATATCATATTCTTTGCAGAGAAACATGGAGAACTCTATACAGTCAGCAAAAACAAGACCGGGAGCTGACTATGGCTCAGATCATAAACTCCTTATTGCCAAATTCAGACTGAAACTGAAGAAAGCAGGGAAGATCACTAGATCCTTCAGGTATGACCTAAATCAAATCCCTTACGATTATACAGTGGAAGTGAGAAACAGATTCAAGAGATTAGATCTGATAGAGTGCCTGAAGAACTATGGATGGAGGTTCGTGACATAGTACAGAGGGCAGTGATCAAGACCATCCCCAAGAAAAAGAAATGCAAAACGGCAAAATGGTTGTTTTAGGAGGCCTTACAAATAGCTGAGAAAAGAAGTGAAGTGAAAGGAAAAGGAGAAAAGGAAAAATATAACCATGTGAATGCAGAGTTCCAAAGAATAGCACAGAGAGATAAGAAAACCTTCCTCAGTGATCAGTGCAAAGAAATAAGAGCAAAACAATAGAATGGGAAAGACTAGAGATCTCTTCAAGAAAATGAGTGATACTAAGGGAACATTTCATGCAAAGATGGGCACAATGAAGGCCAGAAATGGTATGGACCTAACAGAAGCAGAAGATATTAAGAAGAGGTGGCAAATACACAGAACTATACAAAAAAGATCTTCATGACCCAGATAACCATGATGGTGTGATCACTCACCTAGAGGCAGACATCCTGGAATGTGAAGTCAAATGGGACTTAGGGAGCATCACTACGAACAAAGCTGGTGGAGGAGATGGAATTCCAATTGAGCTATTTGAAATCCTAAAAGATGATGCTGTGAAGTGCTACACTCAACATGCCAGCAAATTTGGAAGACTCAGCCAGTGGCCACAGGACTGGAAGAGGTCAGCTTTCATTCCAATCCCAAAGAAAGGCAATGCCAAAGAATGTTCAAACTACCCCACAATTGCACTCATCTCACATGCTGGCAAAGTAACCTTCAAAATTCTCCAAGCCATGCTTTAACAGTACATGAACTGTGAACTTACAGATGTTCAAGCTGGTTTTATAAAAAGCAGAGGAACCAAAGATCAAATTGCCAATATTCACTGGATCATTGAAAAATCATGTATTCCAGAAAAACATCTACTTCTGCTTTATTGACTACACCAAAGCATTTGACTGTGTAGATCTCAACAAACTATGGAAAATTCTTAATGAGATGGGAATACCAAACCACCTGACCTGTCTCCTGAGAAATCTGCATGCAGGTCAGGAAGCAACAGTTAGAACTAGACATGGAACAAAAGGCTGGTTCCAAACAGGAAAAGGAGTACATCAAGGCTATATACTGTCACCCTGCTTATTTAATTAATAGGCAGAGTACATCATGCGAAATACTGGGCTGGAGGAATCACAAGCTAGAATCAAGATTTTCAGGAGAAATATCAATAATCTCAGATATGCAGATGACACCACACTTATGGCAGGAAGCAAAGAAGAACTAAAGAGCCTCTTGATGAGAGTCAAAGAGGAGAGTGAAAAAGTGGTCTTAAAATTCAACATTCAGAAAATGAAGATCATTGCATCCAGTCCCATCACTTCATGGCAAATAGATGGGGAAAGAATGGAAACACTAAGAGATTTTATTTTGGGGGGCTCCAAAATCATGGCAGATGGT